TCTTTGTGAGCCATTTACTTGAATATCATCTGAATTCCAAAGGAGCGACGAGTGCCATGCCAACAACGGCGACGCAGGAAATCAGGAAACGCAACCAGCAAAAAAAGCATGCAAAAGAGAGAAAGGCAGTCTCAACTATACTACTGGAATAAGTACAGGGCCATTCTGAAAGATATAAGAGAAAGGCAGAGGCATTTGCATACGTGTGGTTCCGGAAGTCGTGCAGGTCGTGCAGAAGCCATCGGAGATTCTGCTCTTTTCATTAGAGAGGACATTTGAGGAAGTGAGGGGCCTTCAGGGAACCAAAAATGTCTGTTCTTTAAGCTTGCAGTGCTTTTCGCGCGATCCTGGTAGACGTAGAGAGCACCTCCAGCACCGGCTTTTGTGTAGTTTTTCAGGGCCCTCTGAAAAACATCACACGGTAGTAAAATTGCCCCTCACGAGTCTTAGAGGAAGTACGAGCTGCCCAGTTTTCGGGGGGCTTTCTGCATAAGCTCAGGCTAGGCACTGACCCCTGCTGGATCACAACACACTGAACTCTGCTGCAAGGTGCGGGGCATCTCGTTCGCCTGCCAAACCCATGGTGTCCACGCACGCGTTTGCCCTCGCAGCTCGGGCAGTTTCGGACTTCAACTTGGTTGGGAAGCTGCCGACATGGCACATGATGGTACCCATGGAGGATGCAGAGGATCTTTCCGAGGCGCTTGGTATCTTAGCCTGCCGCGCCGCGCGCTTCAACGTCTCGCTGGGCAAGGACAGCAGCAGATCTCGGACTCGGGGCTTTTAGAGGGCTGTTTCGGATTGTCCCTCTCAGCATTCTCAGCCTCAAAATGAACGTTTGCAGACTCGTTCTTGAGCCTTTGGAGCCTACAACCCTTGAAAGCTTTACGAACCCCTGGAGGCCAAGCTGAGGCCAAAGTTGCCACGGCTCCGGGCCTTCAACGCAACGGAGCCACTTTGCTCTTAGCTCCCCCGGATGACCTGAGCTCGTTCTGATAGGGGGGGGGGGTGGGCAGGGCTTCTTGGGGCGGCAATTTTTTTCAGGGGTGTCGAAGTCTACCGAAGTGAGCGACCACAGGGGTACTCGCTTGCTTCGAAAAGAGCTGACGTTGCAGGGGGCGGGCGCGAGTGCCCAACCAAAACGCTTCTTGTCTCCTTGGTTAGTCTGGGACATGCAACGTGTCAGGTGCTTTGCTTTGCACTTGGAAAATATCCTTGTGGTGTGAAGTCAAAAAAGGCGCCCCTGCAAACATTCCTCATCGCCTTGCGCCCGAGACAAGGTTCCGCCTGCTTCGGGCGGGCGCCCAGCTGCCACTGGAGTCTCCTGCATCCGGGTCCAGCTTCGCCGAAAGGACGCCGCCTTTTCCGGTTTTGAAGGATGTCGGGGATACGTCAGAATCCCGTGCTGAGCATTCTTCGTAAGGTCGCACTGCTGCGCCATGCTAACATGATAGCATCGTAAGGTAGAGTAGGGCAAAGTCGAGTATCGTCTCGTATAGTATGGTATGGTATGGTGTGGTATAGTATGGCATGGCATGGCATGGCATGGCATAGCACAGCATGGCACAGCGTAGCACAGCATAGCACAGCACAGCACAGCATAGCATAGCATAGCATAGCTTCTCAATATACTATATTCGGAATAGTGAGTGTTTGCTAGATTTGGCAAGTTGAGGGGGGGGGTGGTGCTTAAAGTTTCATATCAGCATTTCAAGCCAGGGTTCTGAACGGTAGGTTGACAGGTTCTTTGGGCTCTGAATGGCGTCTCAGACAGGAGGCTCCCACCCTGTAAGGTAGGGCGTGCTACAGGGCCACTGCCGCGATGCGACCGCAAGTTCACACCCATGAGCCCCCCAGAAAGGAGGAAGATTTTCCCCTGGCTGACCGACTACCTCTTTGGCGCGACCGCCACTTGGCCGGAAGTGGATGAGGAGTACTCTGCTAAACTGCTAGAGAAGAATATCGGAGGCGGTTAACAGAGGTGCTGAGCTGAACGTCGGAATCCCAGGATGGGCTATTTACCGCAAGTAGCACCCTCCAACCGCTTAAAAAAAACGGCCCGCTATAGGGTTGATTATGGGGATTAAGAAGGCCTCATAGCCCATCCAGATCCTGAAGGAATGTTGAGTTGTGGCCGAAGTTGTGTGGGTGACGCTGCTTTGGGTGCTCTCGCTGAGTCCACGCCATGACCCCTCTCCGAGCTGCTGGTTTAGGGTTTAGGGTTTAGGGTTTAGGGTTTAGGGTTTAGGGTTTAGGGTTTAGGGTTTAGGGTTTAGGGTTTAGGGTTTAGGGTTTAGGGCTTAGGGCTTAGGGCTTAGGGTTTAGGGCACCCTCCACTTCACGACCCCAATAATTCAGAAGTCAAGGAAGAGCCAGAGGCAGTGGCAGAGGAGGTCCCAGAAGAGGCCTCGCTCAGCCAAGCGCCGCCTGCCCAAGCGACCTGAACCATTTGTGATCGTGACGCCCTGCGGTATACTGCTTAAAACGATGTTGCTGTAGAGCAAAGCAAGCTTCGTGAGTGACTTCTGAGATCCCACGCACGATACTGTGATGGTGGCAGGAGGGCCTCTCACCGCCCAAGTTTCAAATCAGTCAGAACAGTGCTGAGAACCCTCGAGCCCTCGAGCACTACAACAGGGTTTCTCGAGTCTTTCCATTGTCAGACATGAAGATGTGCAGTTTGGGATGTTCCCCCTATTTCTAACAGTCCTTAATGCGCATTATAGTACCCCCTATTACATCCCCATTAAGGAGCTCTAACCCCTGAACCCTGCACCTTAAACCGTAAACCCTAAACCCTGAACGCTTAGTATACGGGGGGAACCTCCCGAGTTCCAGATAAGCAGGAGTTCACGCAGGAACTCCCCGAGCAGTGGCGCTCCCACCTTCAGGCCGCGTGTTTTTTTTTTTTTGTTTAGGGTTTAGGGTTTAGGGTTTAGGGTTTAGGGTTTAGGGTTTAGGGTTTAGGGTTTAGGGTTTAGGGTTTAGGGTTCAGCATCTCAAGTTCGAGCATTTACTAGGCGAGCAGTGTGTGTAGGCAACGGAAAAAAACCCACCCACCCAGAGAATCCCACAACATTAAGAAAATAAAAAGTTTACATTTCTCATCAGCAAGCCCTGTCCTCCAACCTCACTGTGTCATGGACCATCCTACCCACGAACCATTTCATCGACCCCCATAGAGGGGTGGGACTTGAAATCCTCAAACGGGTGAAGGCTCGGTTTTGGTCAAAATCCAGAAAAACGAGAGGCCCCCAGAACCGTCGATTTCAGTACTAAAAAATCGCATTTTTAACTGGGACCCGGGCCGATCCTGGGGTCACCCTCATTTGGGGTGTTTTTGGAAGTAAACTTTCCCTCTCAAGGGGGGGTCAGAGTTTCCCGCGCGCGGGCCAGGACAAGGCCAGACCCTTGAGTGCCCAACAGGGCCGGTCAATCTGGAAGGGCCAAAACCAAGGCCAAGGCCGCCCGCGCGCGGGCCAGGACAAGGCCAGACCCTTGAGTGCCCAACAGGGCCGGTCAATCTGGAAGGGCCAAAACCAAGGCCAAGGCCGGCCGCGCGCGGGCCAGGACAAGCCAGACCCTTGAGTGCCCAACAGGGCCGGTCAATCTGAAAGGGCCAAAACCAAGGCCAAGGCCGCCCCGCGCGGGCCAGGACAAGGCCAGACCCTTGAGTGCCCAACAGGGCCGGTCAATCTGGAAGGGCCAAAACCAAGGCCAAGGCCGCCCGCGCGCGGGCCAGGACAAGGCCAGACCCTTGAGTGCCCAACAGGGCCGGTCAATTGGAAGGGCCAAAACCAAGGCCAAGGCCGCCCGCGCGCGGGCCAGGACAAGGCCAGACCCTTGAGTGCCCAACAGGGCCGGTCAATCTGGAAGGGCCAAAACCAAGGCCAAGGCCGCCCGCGCGCGGGCCAGGACAAGGCCAGACCCTTGAGTGCCCAACAGGGCCGGTCAATCTGGAAGGGCCAAAACCAAGGCCAAGGCCGCCCGCGCGCGGGCCAGGACAAGGCCAGACCCTTGAGTGCCCAACAGGGCCGGTCAATCTGGAAGGGCGAAACCAAGGCCAAGGCCGCCCGCGCGCGGGCCAGGACAAGGCCAGACCCTTGAGTGCCCAACAGGGCCGGTCAATCTGGAAGGGCCAAAACCAAGGCCAAGGCCGCCCGCGCGCGGGCCAGGACAAGGCCAGACCCTTGAGTGCCCAACAGGGCCGGTCAATCTGGAAGGGCCAAAACCAAGGCCAAGGCCGCCCGCGCGCGGGCCAGGACAAGGCCAGACCCTTGAGTGCCCAACAGGGCCGGTCAATCTGGAAGGGCCAAAACCAAGGCCAAGGCCGCCCGCGCGCGGGCCAGACCCTTGAGTGCCCAACAGGGCCGGTCAATCTGGAAGGGCCAAAACCAAGGCCAAGGCCGGCCGCGCGCGGGCCAGGACAAGGCCAGACCCTTGAGTGCCCAACAGGGCCGGTCAATCTGGAAGGGTTAGCCCTTAGGGCGTGACCAACAGGGCCGGTCAATTTGCTGACTATAGGGTTTAAATATATATAGGTAAGAGAGGTTTAGGGTTTAGGGTTTAGGGTTTAGGGTTCAGGGTATTTGGGTATTTGGGTATTTGGGTATTTGGGTTTTTGGGTTTTTGGGTTTTGGGTTTTTGGGTTTTTGGGGCGTTTAGGGCTCTGAGAGGTGATAGGAGAAAGCTTGTTCCGAGGGCGCCTTGGGTTTCAAAAGGCACTTCGGGCTTAGCAGCTTAGCATATATATATATATATATCTATATATATATATATACATATATATATATATATACGTACATGACATATATGTAGATGTATGTATGTCTGTGCAATGGTTTTGCTGGGGCTGAAGCGGGGGCTTTGCAAGCTGCAAAATGCGGAAGCGCTCGGAATCCTTGCTTCAAGCGACACGTGTGAAAGCTTCTGGTCCGACATCCGTAGGCACCCTGAACCGCAGACCAAGCAAGAGACAAACACTTTACTTAGTACTTCGAATGCAGAGCCTCTTGGGAAAAATTCTTGGCTGCATTGCAGAGGCCGTGAAGAAGCTCGGGGAAGGCGGCTACGGCAAAGTCTTCAAGTGTAAGGCCCGCCGCCGCGGGGGTTGTTTGTAGGGATAGGGCTAAGGGAATGAGTAGTCCTACAGAGATTCCACGATTTCTACGAGTCGTCTCATCTTCTCATACTCAAATTCCGTAACTTTGACAAAAAAGGGAGCTCGAGCCAACAAAGTCTTTCAAGATGCGTCGCCGTAGCCACGGAGGCCTTTAGATGCTGCTACCTGCGACTACTCTCAGCAGGTCCTCTGCGGGAGCGCTGAGGACTATGTCACTGTCAAGCTGGTCGCAGAGAAGTCAGACGATGTTCTGCGTGAGATCGAACTGACGCTGCGCTGAAAGCTACCGGCGTGCTGGCCGATAAAGCTCGCCCAGAGCCGCCCTTAAACCCTGAAGCCGAAAGAAAAGAAAAGGCGGGGATGAACGAATTAGCCCTCGAATTTGTGCACGTGTGATCGTCTTTGCAGTGTGTCTTACAGCCAGCTATGCGGGGATGGCAAAATCAACCTAAACGGACATGCCCGCAAAAAGGGTGCCAAAAAAAGCAGAATTAGATCAAAAGAAACAACAAAGCAAAGGATGGAAGAGATGAGTGGCGTCTCGGAGTTCTGCCTGTCCTCCCTGGGCTCTCCGACCATCCCATCCTTCGTCGATGCGCCGGAGGGCTACTGGATCATGACCTCACCAAGGGGGGGTCGGAGGGGGGGATAAGGACACCCAACAAGGACCCCCCCAAAAAGGCAAGACAGCCCGTATACAGAATATGTATAGGTTTGTATCTGTATATATATATATATCTCTCTCTCTGTGTTTCAATATGAAGACTTGATCCCGAACCCCCGAGATATGCCCCTGAACCTCTTATGCCCCTGAACCTCTCGCTAAGCGCCACACTGAAACACAGAACCCGTTCGCCCCAAGAGTGGGAATCGGATAACCGATGATGTATCTAAAATCGTTTCTCCACTATATACATATATGCGCATATACATACACACAGCATGTTATGTCATGTAACGTAGGTCGTATGTACACTATACGGTTTGTATTGATATATGTAAATCTTTCATCATGTATTCCTATATATATATATATGTATATGTATATCTGTGTATGAGATGAAAGGTTTTCTGCTCAGCAATCAGACCTTGAAGCCCCCGCTTCTCTCCCTCCCCCCCCCCCCCCCCCCCCCCCCCGCCAGCTGCGCGAGTGTAGGATGCCCCTCATGAACGGCGGGGAACTTTACGAGTTGTGGCTTGTTATGCACGGAGAAGGAATTTCGTTTTGTTTTGCTGGTGGGGGGAGAGCGATTTGTTCATGGTTTAGGGCATTAGGGCTTTAGGGTTGGATGTCTGGGAAACATGCTTTGTTCTGTTGGACCTGGCTTTCGAACGGCGCGTTTTTTTTGCTGTTTAGATGGGTTTCCTTGGCACACCTGTTTAAGGATCCAGCCCAAAGGTTTTAAGGTTTTAAGTAACAAAGGCACGCCCGGCTTGGGTGCACGGCAATGCCATCTGAGCATGATTACTCCAGCAAGGTGGCAGAGTGAACAGACAAATTTGGGATTTATGGCAGGGAGCAGGGAGTACTCTCATCCCTGCAGTACTATAATCCCGACTAAGGACTGCATAGTATAAGTGCGAACATGCCAAGACATAGTATTCCGAGCATTGTGATTTCACGCTACGCGACCCACCTCGGCCTGGCCCAATGCAGCTCCCGGGGAGGTGGCCGATGTTGGGGGGGAGGTGGCGGCAACACCTCTCGCCTGCAAAATGCCCCAAGAAAATGGCCAAGCAATGGGCTCCCAGATAAAGGGCGCAAGTTATTTGGGGAGGGGATTCGCGGTGAGGAGGGTTGGGGGGGTGGCGGTGTGGCTTGTGGTTTGGGGGGGAGGGCGCTTGTTCTCAGAACCTAGACCCCTTCGGGCCCGAGGCCTCGGCGGACTAATCGAGACTTCTGGAAGAGCAAAGGGCGTCCAAGGCCCCCTGAACCCTAAACCCCAAAACCCCTAAACCCCTAAACCCTAAACCCAAAACCCTAAACCCTAAACCCCAAACCCCTAAACCCTAAACCCAGGGGGTCCAAGGCCCCCCCACAGTCGCCCATTGCAAGGATGACCAGCTGCGACCGACATCTTGGATGCGGTGCCTGCGAGGACCCCTGGGGGGGGGGGGGGGGGGTAAGGGTTTAGGGTTTAGGGTTTAGGGTTTAGGGTTTAGGGTTTAGGGTTTAGGGTTTAGGGTTTAGGGTTTAGGGTTTAGGGTTTAGGGTTTAGGGTTTAGGGTTTAGGGTTTAGGGTTTAGGGCTGAGGGTTTAGGGGTAGTTGCTGACAAGAAGCGCCCAGTAGAGACTCAGTATGTCATCTCAGGGTTTTGATGGCAGACTGTACTTGCAGAATGCTGGCAAAGAACACACAAGTGGTAGCATGAAGAGAATGGTGACTGAGTGACTTAGGACAACTAACCTCGGGGAGATAATATAAGAAGCGTCCCAAAGAGCATATGCTTTTCTTGGCCCCCACAGTGTTTTGAGACGTTCTTTTTCCGAACACTTTCTTTATTGTGTGTGTGTGTGTGTGTGTGTTTGTTTTTTTGCTTGGCGAACGACGTGCCCCGTCAGCTTCTAATTGGGGAAACAAACTCTGTGCCTTTGAGAGTTTTTACGAAAGACTAGTTACCCCCAACAAGTATGCGAAAGCCGTGAGCCCTGTACTTTTTGCGCATACTGCCGTATTTTTCTTTCCAGCATGGCAAAACAAGTTCATGTTTCTGATCCTCTGCAAGCTTCTTATTTAAGGATCTTGCGCGCTGCCTTTTAAAATGCATGCTGCAATTTTTTGTATTTGTGATTCGATAGCTGTTCTGCCTGCAGAAGAACCCGAAACCCTGAACCCTAGACCCTAAACCCTACAGGGAGATGCTCAGGATTGGTTTGGCCGGCGCTGCTGGACAGATCTCAACCCCTCCTACACCACGGCCTTCATGCTACATGGTCATATTTATCATGACTGTCTGCAAAAAAAAATTTGGCGAATGTTGTGTATAGATTATATATTTATATACATATACATGATTGCTGAATGTTTGTAAACATGTATTTGTTCAGAGAACAGCTTCAACGCAATAGGCCACTACCCTAAAACCATGAAAGAAGAAGGCTGTCCCTCTTCCGCGACGCTGTGAAGGGCGTGGCTGCTTTCCATGCGCAAACAGGGTTTCTCCACGCGGACCTGAAGCCGGAGAATGTGATGCTCAATTGCAGAGGCCCCCTTGCGCCCCAAACCCGTCGGAGCCCGGTGCTTTAGAACCCTTGCTTAACCCTTGCGGCCTTGCGCTTGCCTGGTGTCAGGCTGAGGGGGGCTCCCTTTTTCCTGCTTGATAGTTTGGTGATGGCTCCCTCTTGCGTCGGAATTTTCTTTGGGTTTGCATGGGAAATCTGGGGGCAGAGAGGCAGCGGAAGCAAGGCCGCAGCTCTCAGACTTGAGTTCCCCCCCCGCAGCCTTTCTTCTGATCCCCAAACGCCCCAACTTGTCATGAAAAGCGCGGGGCCGGTTTTTGGAGTGGGGAGGGGGGGGTGGAGCAGAAGGAGATCTGAACGAACCCATGAACGAATGGGCAGAGGTACCGATGATTGCTTTGCAGCTGTCATCGCACCTTGCCTCAGACAAGGGAGTTGGGAAGGGACTAAGGGAACACACACATATATATATATATATATATATATTTATTTATCTATCTATCTATATATATATATATATATGCATATATATATAAGAGTATAGTTTGGCGGTTTTTATGACATAACAAAGTGTTGACAAAATAACCGGAAGAGTCGGGCAAAAGGGGAACTGCCAAAGCGGAACAGGAAGCCGAACACTTCGACATAAGGCTCCCTTCACCTTTTAGGGTTTAGGGTTTAGGGTTTAGGGTTTGGGGTTTAGGGTTTAGGGTTTAGGCTGCCCACCCTGTCTCCCCTCCTTCCCTCCTTCCCTCCTTCCCTCCTTCCCTCCTTCCCTCCTTCCCTCCTTCCCTCCTTCCCTCCTTCCCTCCTTCCCTCCTTCCCTCCTTCCCTCCTCCCCTCCTTCCCTCCTTCCCTCCTTCCCTCCTTCCCTCCTTCCCTCCTTCCCTCCTTCCCTCCTTCCCTCCTTCCCTCCTTCCCTCCTTCCCTCCTTCCCTCCTTCCCTCCTTCCCTCCTTCCCTCCTTCCCTTCTTCCCTCCTTCCCTCCTTCCCTCCTTCCCTCCTTCCCTCCTTCCCTCCTTCCCTCCTTCCCTCCTTCCCTCCTTCCCTCCTTCCCTCCTTCCCTCCTTCCCTCCTTCCCTCCTTCCCTCCTTCCCTCCTTCCCTCCTTCCCTCCTTCCCTCCTTCCCTCCTTCCCTCCTTCCCTCCTTCCCTCCTTCCCTCCTTCCCTCCTTCCCTCCTTCCCTCCTTCCCTCCCTCCCCAAGCCCGAGATCTCAAGGTTTCCAGCTTGGGATGTTCCCCCGTATGCTACCAGCCCTCAAAGGGATTCTAGTACCCGCGACTTTGCTCCCTGTTAAGGACTGCTAAATCCCAAGTTTCCAGCCGTAGGGCCTGTAACCACACCCTTTCGTCGGAGCCCCGTTCTCCTCAACAGACCCTCAAAAAGCACCGCTCTCAGCCCTTGCTTGAGGATTTCGGCCTGGCTTGTGACATGAAGGACCCGGAGGACTCCCTGCGGAAACTCTCGGGATCATGCCAGGGGCGCGGGAAAGGGCTCAAGCTGATGGCTTTGGTTTCGAAATGTTTACGAAAGTAGGGGGTACCCTTTTTGTTGGGGTTCCTGTAATACGGACTATCTTATTCTGGGGTGAAGTTAAGTACCGGGGGCCATATTCCCATGCAGAAGAACCATCCTTCCAGTTCGGGTGCGCTGGATCATACTCCCGCATTCAACTACAGGGTCCAGCGGAGCTCGGGTGAGAAGAGGACAGGCTTTCGGGTTCGAGGGCTTTCGGGCCTTTCGGGTTGGGGAGTCTTCAGGGCCCTTTGACCCCGTTCTCGATGCTTCGCGCGGGTCTCCAACCATCTGCTGCTATCTTGAACATGCTTTTGCGGCCTGCATGTACAGATATATGTCTCTGCGTGCGTAGCGCGATGTATGATAGGTCTAGGATGTAGGACTTCTTGGCGTTCTTCCTCCTACCGTGCAAGAGCAGCAGAGTTGGGAAATCCGTTCCCCAAATCGGAGGAGTGTGCCTACGCAGGGACGCCGGCCTACGTCCCCCCGGAGGCACTCCTCGGACATGGGACCATGCCCAACCCCCTGTGAGAACTGAATGGAAGGAGTTTAGGGTTTAGGGTTTAGGGTTAGGGTTTAAGTTTAGGGTTTAGGGTTTAGGGTTTGGCTTGTTGCAAAAAGAGTTTAGGGTTCAGGGTTTAGGGTTTAGGGTTGAGGGTTTAGGGTTAGGGTTTAGGGTTTAGGGTTTAGGGTTTAGGGTTTAGGGTTTAGGGTTTAGGGTTTAGGGTTTAGGGTTTAGGGTTTAGGGTTTAGGGTTTAGGGTTTAGGGTTTAGGGTTTAGGGTTTAGGGTTTAGGGTTTAGGGTTTACGGTTTAGGGTTTAGGGTTTAGGGCTTAGGGTTTAGGGTTTAGGGTTAGGGTTTAGGGAATCAGTTGCCAGCTGCTAGACACAAAGCAGCCCGATAGCCTGATAGCCCGAGAGCCTCAGCCCCAGTGACTTGGGGAAGAGCGGAAGAGCATGGAAACTGTCCTCCCTTGTAGGTTGCACCCCCAAAAATCCCAATATCTTGGTATTCGAGGGTCCGAGCTCCGAAAGCATATGATCCCTACAGTCCCGAGCCATAGATTCCGACTGCCCAAAAGTTTCAAGGGGCCGATGCGGACTCCCCAGAGTTCACCAAAAAAGGTTGAGTCCCAGACAAGAGGTCCCAATTACAAGCGGGGGGGGATCTGAACAATTAGAATAGGGCTTTGGGGTTCTTCTAGTGTATTTGCCAGGAACCACAACAGAATACCATGAGTAATATCATTCATTCCGACCCCTACATTAAAAAACCCCTAAAGCTCTAAAACCCTAAAAACCCCAAGGTCTACCTCAGCTCTCCAGTCGCGGCCCTGGGGAGCCCGAAGCGGGATGTCTGGGCACTTGGTGTGATCCTGTGCCCCCCCCCACCATTTCCAGGCAGATGTGTTTCGTAACATCCTTAAAACAAACCACAGCACCCAAGTACTCTCTGCACCTTCACGCACAAGATCCTTACAAAACCCCAAAAGGGCCCGAAACCGTAGCACCTCAGCTCGGCGCGCGTGAAAGCCGAAGTCCTGCCTTCCTCCGAAGAGGTATGAGCTCACGTACCAGAGCGTTCCGCCCTTTGCCATGGAAGATGGCTCCGGGGACCTGGCCCATTGACAAAAGTAGTAGGTTCCGCGAAGAATAGAGTACTTGGAGGTTCGTTGGACTTTTCACTAGCCAATTAGAACTGTACTGATAACTGGACTTATTACCATATTCGAGCACTGAAGGAAGTTATAACTGAGTTGAGCACAGTTCGCATCGTATGTGTAAAGCGACTCCTGAAGTCGTCGCCCCAGGTGACTGCCTACGACCCTGCCACTGACAACAACTTTCCGCAGCCTCCAACCGCATTGGATCAGCTAATCATTCAGATGCTCCTTGGTCTAAAGGCGAAACGACGTTCAACTGCACTGCGCTCTCGGCTCGAAGCTTTACTGTGTTGTTTGGTGGTCTCGCCTTCGAGGTTCTGAGCTTCCCCGCCCCCCCCCCCCCCCCCCCCGCCCAAACAAAAAAAAAGAAAAAGAAAACCTGCTTGCAACTGTTGTGCCAGAAGAATGGTGAACAGGCACGAAACAGCACAATGAAGTTACCAGACTTTCGGGAGGGTGGCAGATCTCTCTGTAGTCTACTGGAACATGGCCGTCTGAACAGCAGACCCGAGGCTTGCGCTGAACTACACGGAGCGGCCCACTCTGAATAGCATTGAGACCATGCTCAAGGCCAGTGGACACTAGCAATCCACGAGGGGTTTAGGGTTTGGGGTTTAGGGATACAATAACTTGGGATGTTCCCCCTTAAACTAGAGAATCTCGGGTACCATTCAGCCCAATGAAGGACTGTTAGTACAAGGGGGAGCATCCCAAGATCCAAGAGGCACAATTTGCACAATAACTTTTCTGGGGGGTAGTACATAATATACATAGTAGCCTTTCTGGGGGGGTGTGGCGTCAGATCCGCATGCAGAGTAGAAAGTAGAATCTTTTGATGCGCTTGTGCAAAGATGAGTGGAAAGCTCGAGGCCTCATCAAAACTTTCCCGGGGGGGGGGGGGGGTCGGAGGGAGAGGCAACTTTCGGATTTTTTGGGGAAGGGCCCCGTAGCCGAATTGCACGCAATGAAGGAGAGAGTGGGTCTGCCAAAGTCGCACGCAACATCCGCCAAGCCCAGAAGCCCAAGCCCGGAGAAATCCTAAACCCTAGACACGCAAATCGAATGTTAGGGGTTGGGTTAGGTTGGGTTAGGTTGGGTTAGGTTGGGTTAGGTTGGGTTAGGTTGGGTTAGGTTGGGTTAGGTTGGGTTGGGTTGGGTTGGGTTGGGTTTGGGTTTTGGGGGGGGGGGGGGTTTGGGCTAGGCTAGGTTGGGTCTTCGGATGCAGGTCGGGACTCAGGTCTTCGGATTTCAGGGTTTCGGCTGTCTGGATTTTATTCTTCCTTGGACTTACATGGACTTGCATGAATGTTGATTGGCGCCTTGCTGTGTTCCGACTCGCCGTTTCCCTGTCTTACGACTCGCCCTTTTGCTTTACGACTCATGTGCGCACGATTCGCCAGTCACCCCGCGCCCTTGTACCTTTTCCCCGCCTTCCACTTCCTTCATCGCGAGTATGGGGGGGGCTGGGCAGCCGCCTTTCGTCGGCCACCCAGAAGGTAGGGAGTTTCTGCACAACTTTCAACGGGTGGGCTGAAGTTTGATGCCGTTCGGAGGGTCTTCCCTCGGTAATCCTGCGTCCAGGACATCATCCTCGAAGAGCTCAAGGCGGAGGACGAGCGGGACGAGCGGAAGGCGGGCGACGTTCCTGGTGTTATATTCTGCTGTTTGCTTCAGGACCCCCCCCCAACAAAAATGGAAGAAGAATCCCTATAGTACCCTTATAGGAAGAGTATTCTAACTTTTTTTGGAGGTTCTTAAGCAATTAGCAGTCTTCCCGCGGAACATGATGAGCACACTACAAGAGGGCAAACTTGAAGGGAAGGCATCTTGAAGGTATATTGAAGGTTTCAAGGGTTTCAAGGGCGAAAGGGCGCAGTTCTTGAGATCAAATCACACTGGCAGAGTCACAGCCTCTGGCAGTTGTTGAACCGGAATGAGACTAACGTAGGAGCTCACTCCGCAGCATATGGCACATCGAACCAAAAGGGTGACAGCGTTCTTTCGCTGGCAAGGGGGCTGTTTCATCATCATTGTGGCACAGCAGAAGGAGAGGCGGTATCACGTCTCAGCACATGAACTGAATGCAGGGCATGAGCCGCACATGGGGTGGCAGGCACGATATCAACTGCTATGATCGCGCCACGCGGAAACAGCCACTACATTATATACTCGGACTGTTGTACTGTGTTCCCTAATCCCGAAACCTTGAACCCTAAACCCTCCACATAAGAAAATCTAAACCCTAATCGCCCAAACAAACCACCTATATAAGCGCCCTGCTGTACTTCGTTTGACCTCCCAGGTGTTGGCAATGCTGGATGAGACCCCCACAGAACGTGGCGCGAGCGTTGCCAAGCCGAAGCCGGTCTGCGGAGCAGGGGAAAGACGGCTGATATATGTAAATTATGTATAGAAGAGAGAGAGATATGTATATCTATATGTATGGAATATGTATATATATATATAGAATTATATGTAAACATGTATATATGCATCTATGTATACATGTATATGTGTGTGTTATAAACATGTCGCGGAACTGCAACAGAGCCATATCGGAGGCTGCAGCGCTATCGGCTGTAACGGGAGCTGTAACGGGAGCTGTAACGGAGCCGCGGCAGAATGCAACAAGGGTAATCCACGTCATGACTTAGGGGTGCAGATGTGGGGGTTGGGTTCCTTCCCTAGCCGCTTTCCCTTTTGAGGACTTTGGAAGCCGTGCAGCTTCTGCAGATAGGTAGTATCGAGCAGTTGTGCTGTTGAGCTATGAGAAGAAGCTTTTGTTTTTCGGATTTTCGGCCCCGTGAAGTCTACATTGGAAAGGTGTCGCACACAAAAAGAGCTGGGTGCAAGTCTCTCGCAGCCACCACCAAGATTTCTCCCATCCGCAGAAGCTTTGAATGCAGCGCCCAACATCCGAAATGGAGGTTTCCGACAAGAGGGGTACCCTTTTTTTGCGGGTCCTTTTTAAGGGGAGTCTATTCCATTTGGGGTCTCAAAGGGGTACCTCTATGTAGGGAAATACCCAAATAAAACAAGCCCTGCAACACCCGAGATCTTCAGCCTCCGAAGCCAAGAGCCTTCTGAAAGTATGCGCAGAGGTTTCTTCTAGAGAAGTGATACCTCCATCGCCTGAAGCAGCGAAAAAACATGTAAGCCCTCTAGGGGTAAATTTTATGAGAGCTAAGAGAGAAGTTTCAGGTTTTTTTTCGGAAAATTCCGGGCTTCCAAAGCTCTGAGGAAATGCCTCTCGCAGAGCCTTGGCCTTTCCAGCACCTGTGTGGATTTTGTTCAAAAACTCGAAAAGCCCGAAACCCAAAATCCCTAAAAGCACTAAAAGCCCTAAAGCCCCCCTAGATCCGAAAACCCTCAATGCCCCAAAAGCCTTCAAAACCTTCAAAATCGTCAAAACCCTCAAAACCCTCAGGACCCTCAAAAGCCTCAAAAACCTCGAAAACCATCAAAAACCCCTCAAAACCCTCAGAACGCTCAACAACCCTCAAAACGCTTGGAATCCCCAGCTCAGGTCTGATGCGGCGCAGGTGCTTGAAGCGAACCCAGAGCTCAAAGCCGGCAAGCAGCTGCTGGGGCTGCCAGAAGCTTCGTTTTTTAAGAACAGGATTTAGGGTTTAGGGTTTAGGGTTTAGGGTTAGGGTTTAGGGTTTAGCGTTTAGGGTTTAGGGCTCAGGGTTTGGGCGGTTTCGGGGGGGGGTTAGCGTTTTGTGGGGTTGAGGTTGTTGCGGGGTTTTAGGCTTAGGGTTTATAAGGCTTGAAGAACACAGGCTTATGCTGTCCCGCTACAGGAGCATGGAAGCGAGAGTTGGTCAGGGTGTGCTATGCAGAGGTTGGCATAGTTTAGGGTTTAGGGTTTAGGGTTTAGGGTTTAGGGTTTAGGGTTTAGGGTTTAGGGTTTAGGGTTTAGGGTTTAGGGTTTAGGGATGTTGTGAGGGTGCTGTTTGTCGGTCTGTTCCCGCGCCAACCTACAGGAGCCGGTACGGCTAGTGAGCCAGTCCTGGCGAGTTCACTCGCGGATGGTGGTTGGGATGTTCCCCCTGGGTTTCTAGCAGTCCTTAATGGGGATTATAGTACCCCCCCCCCCTCCCCTAGTATAATCTAAACCCTAAACCCTAAACACTAAACCCCAGAAACTACTCAGAGGATTCCGAAATCCGCCGAGGCACCATCGCAGAAGCAGCGCCAGCGGCAGTGAGGAGGCGAAACGAGAGCACTGCACGGACGCTTAGCACTTGGGATGTTCACTTCCCCCTGGTTTAGGGTTTAGGGTTTAGGGTTTAGGGTTTAGGGTTTAGGGTTTAGGGTTTGGGGCTTCTACTAACAATCCTTACAAGGGATGATAATGGGGGGGGGGTTACTACAATCCCCATGAAGGAGTGTTAGTAGAAGGGGGAGCATCCCAAACTTAGCACGTTGAAGCAGGGGTTTCTGTGGGCTTCGGATGGTTTAGGGCTGCTGTTTTCGGGTTCTTAACAGTTTTGCCTCAAGGCAATGTAGGCCACCATGACGCGCCTGATTTGAGAGACCGGCTTGTGACGGTAAAGTAAGCAGCGCGTTGAAAGACAGAGATGCGCAGCCGCACACAATGAGAGCAGTTCGCCCTGAACCCTGAACCCTGAACCCTGAACCCTGAACCCTGAACCCTAAACCCTAAACCCTAAACCCTAACCCCTAAACCCTAAACCCTAACCCCTAAACCCTAAACCCTAAACCGCAGGAATCTGGTGGTCTCCTTACTTGCCAGAGTTGCTGGGAGTCCAGGGTGGCCCAGCCCAGGACACACCGCGCCCCTTTGCCAACATCCGCAAGTGCGGAATGAAGCGCCAGGGAAAGCGAAGGGTGTGCTGCATCTTGGCTTTGAGAAACGGGATGAGGAGGAGTTTCTGGGCTGTTTTGGGCCAGGGGGTGTCAATTTTGACCGTTTAAGGGTCTAAGCATGCACCGAACTTGAATTCGTCTACGTATCCGATACCAGCCTACGAGTTACACTTGTAGAGTCTGGAATGGCAGCCGGATGTATTCTGTGGCTTGTGCAGAGAACTGTGGATGCCCGAAACTCGGTTTTTGAAGCTTTTCTCACACCACCAGATTTCAGCTGTCGCGTATCTTTGGAAAGGTATTGGGCGGGCATTGCAATGTGCAACGTGCTTCGCTCAAAACGAGCTTCTTTTCAGTGTCCCGGAGACGCTGTTAGAAGAATTTGCAAGGAACCCACAAGCACACGATTCGCATGCTGAGACTGTGTCTTGACTGTGGCTGCTGTGGCAGAGGCTTCAACTGCTTACCTTCAGCTGTCGAGTATGGTAACCCACGTACTCTACGTCTGCAAAGCGCTTGCAGCAGATCGATTGGCGACCTGCCAAACAAACTCAAAGACAGAAATGCAGCACCAAGGCGTTTGCCATGTTGAGCGCGGTGGCAAAATTGTCAACGCACACTTTCCCATGATGGAACCTCAGCAGCAGAGCAAAAGTGCGGGGCCATTTTGCTTGTGTTACCGAGAGGTTTCGTGTCAGCTGGAGAGAGTGCTTCACGTATCATTGCCTGTTTTTGGCTGATGTTGTTACGGTCTCCTTCTGCTATCCCCAAGCCCTCAACCCTAAATCCTAAACCCGAAGCCCCCATCAACAACACACATTCTAGCTTGGACTGGCCTAAGCCCTGAAGAAGGTGGAAAGTCGCAGAGCCCACTACCGGAAAGTCTCCTTGTTTGCCCAAAAAAAATTTCCGTCCACGCAGGCGATGAAGCCCTAAGTTGGAAATGGCAGCCAAGGACGAGTGTCTCTGATCCGCCGCGGGCCCTTGTGGGGCCTAGAGCAAAAGAGGATCCTAGAGCAGAGATGCAGCGCACTAGTCCCATTACAAGACAGGACTGCTGGGGCACCCTAAAGTCTTCCTCCTTTTTAGCAGCAACTTATGGGTTCCCTTGTAACGCAAGCAACCCCAAACAAGGTGCCCTTATTATTTTAGTATGGTTACTGGGCTACCAAGATAGAGAGAACAGCCCTTTTGCCGCCTCCAACTCCTTGCTGCACCACCGGATTCTGCTCTTGGGTGCGTACAGCGATTGCAGCCGTCATGTTTGCATCTTGACTTGCTTGTTTTTCTGTTGTTGTCTGTTCTCTTTATGATCCTTGTCATACTGAGTCATACCACCAATGCTTTCCCCGCGAAGTTTCGGGTCGGTGCGGGGCGGGGGGCCCCGGGGAACGGCGCGGAGCGCCTGAAGCCCAGAGCGAGGCCGGGACCTTCAAGGCATCTCCTGTCAATGTTAGGGAAACTGAAGAGACCCTGTGGTTTGGGGCTTAGGGCTTAGGGTTTCTGAGCCGACAGCCTTGAGGTTGCTGTGTCCTTGGCGAATCCCACACCCTTCCCAGCAGTGGCGTTTGTCCTTCAATGCCATCCTCATTGCTGGGTTTCGTGAGCCCTGCTTTGTTTTCTTCACAACTTGGCTTGGACTTGTTTTGCACAGGGTCCAGAACCTGACCACGGGCCTGGATGGCGGCAGCGAAGCCTTTGCCTAAGACTGCTGGTGCAACAAAAAGGAGCAAAAGCAGGTGCTCACCGTAAAGAAAAGACACCGGCTGCCCGTGGTTCCTGCCAGGCCAACCATCAATGCGCACATACCGAAGACGGACATCGTCACGCGCCATAAGGCCGACGCTTCTCGCCTCTCTCTCTATCTCTCTCTTTCTCTTAAGAGTGCCCTTCTCCCCGTCCCCTCCTTTTCCTGCGTCTCTCTTCTTTGCGGAGACTTGTTGAGACAACTTAATTAGACCATTCTTACAAGAGGAACCAAGTTTGTTCGGATCTTTACTGATTCTGTACTCTGCTGGCTTAGCTCGACAGGGAACGCACATCAACACAATTCCCATGCCCCCACCGACATGTTTCGCAGGTGATCCGCTTCGGCACGACCAGGAAGGCCCGAGCTGGGTCAATCCTGACCCAAGCGTGTGCCTACATACATATATACATTATATATATATATATATATAATATACATAGAATATATAATATAATATAATATAATATAATATAATATAATATAATATAATATAATATAATATAATATAATATAATATAATATAATATAATATGTGAGCAGGTCTAAGCACGCACGTTGCATGTGCAGAGCTGCCAGGACCAGTACTGTAGTCTTCTTTGCATGTGTAGGTTTGCAATTCGTTTCAATGCCAATTTTGGCTCAAGTACCGAGCTTGTGCCTTTGAGCACGGTAGTGTCGTACAGTAGCTCTTAGGTTGCTGTGCGGTCCGACCGGACGCACTCAGGCGTAGCTGCACAAGTGCTTGAACTCGCGAAGTCGTAAAACAGCGTGACCGGGCTGTGATTGCATTGGCTTAGTGCAAGTCCAGTGCTGGTCGACTTCACAATTGGGGGCTGTTCTGGGAAACGTACAGCTCTTGTGCCTACGGCCCGAGTGGGCAAGCATTGCTTTGCTTGTCTGTCGCGGTCCGTGACCTGGACGCGTGGACTGTGTGCCACGCTTGCGGCCTGTTAACCAAGGCGCGGCGCTTCGCGTGCCACGCCTGCGGCCTGTTTACCAAGGCGCGGCAATGTCCGCAGAGGTAGCAGGTCAGGCCGAGGGTGTCACCCTCCTCGAAGCTATCGAGGGTGGAGACGTCCCCTATCCCGAGCGGATGAGCTACGTCGCTTGGCTTAAGTGGCGTAGGGAGACTGGCAGCCGTCCGTTGTCCAAGCGGGATGGGGTTAGCACTACGCCAGAGCAAGAGGCGGCTCTCTGGCGAAAAGTCATGAAGTTCCTCCATGACGCCGAAGACGAGGACGAGGATGAGGAGGAAGAAGAAGAGGACTCCGAGCTAGTCCCTGAGGCCTCGGGCGCTGGAGGCGACAGTCCGCCGCGGGTGGACGTCAGCGCCGCGGCTAGGGAGCTGGCCATGGTCCCTACCGGTGCTGCCTATGCCCCTGCTACGGCACCGGGGTCCCGCCCGGCGGGACCGTCCGGTCCGCCGTCGACAGCAGGTTCGGTGCCAGGCACCGCGGAGGGCTTGCAGGCGGAGCTGCGCGCGATTTTCCGTCCAGACCAAGAACCGGTCGCGGACTACTTGACGCGCGTTTCGCGGATTGTCCTCGCGCTGAAAGCGCATGGAGTCACGGTGAGCTCCCGTGACCTTGACGCCTTAAGCACCAAAGCCACCCTCCTTGCGGATGAGTTCTCCAAGATAGGTGGGGACTGGCATCCGACAAAGATGGTCCGTCGGCTGCGGACCAGATTCTCGGTCGCGGCTTTGCGCGGTGGCGAGGACCCCGAAGACGCAGAGGAGATTCAGCGTAAATCCAATGCATCGGGGAGCTTATCCTCGCGCTAGGGGGAAAAGAAAGCTCGAGCCAAGAGAAGGTTTGGAGCTCCCCGTCCGATGTGCCAGTTGAAGCCGTGGGGCCGCGTTCCCCAGGGCTCCCACAGCCTGCGACTGCAAGTGGGTTGGGGGTAGGTTTGGACCGTGGAGGTTTGCACACTGCCGAGGTTGCAGGTGGTCCTTCCGCGGCCCGTGACCTGGGCGCGACGGACGGCGATTCCCCTTTGCGCGCGAAGCTTGCGGCGCTGGATCGAGATGGAGATAGAAGCCCTGAAGCGAGGTTCAGACGGCGGAGGTTCGCAGACCGGGTCCCAAAACCCGGCGGGCGATTTCGCCGCCGCACTCGCCGCCCAAACTGAAGCGCTGAAAGAAGCGTTAGCGCAGAGGGGCGGGCAAAGCTCCATAACGACGGTCAAAACTGACCTCACGTGGCCGACGCTGACCGACGACAAGTCGGACGCGCGAGACGTTGTCCTGTTCTACGAGGAGTTCGAGGACGTCTGCGCGCTCGCCAACAACTGTCGCGGTATGAGTGCGCGCGAGAAGCTGCTAGCGCTACGCGGGCGCTGCCGCGGCTCGCGCATGAAGACGTACACGAACGCCTACCGCGCAGCGTGGAAGTCGGGAGAGGTTCTCTCCGACCCACAGGCAGTGTACGACCGCATCAAGAACAAGCACTTGATGTTCGGGGAATCGCGGGAGGAAAGAGAAGTCCGCGTGGATGGTGAGCATGCCTCCCTCGCTAAGGGCAAGCTCACAGGCCACCAATTCGAGCCTTTGTTTGAGGCATCGATCGCGGACCTTGAGGCGGTGGGTCTTGGGAAGACCCCACGAGAGTTGTATCTCTCGTACCTCCGCAAGATGCCCCCGTATCTCCAAAAGGAGATACGTAACGACAAGCGGTTGTGGCCCGGCGATCCCAAGGATGGCGGGCTGAGAGGGCCGCAGACTTGGGAGGAGAGCCACAAGGTCGTCTTGGAGTACGAACAGAGGGAAGCAGCTCACCGGGCTGTTTCCCACTCTGTGTACTCAACGACCGGCTCTCCGAGCGCGGACCCGTCGGTCGCGCTAGCCGAGGCTCAGAAGGAGATTAAGAGCCTCAAGGCCGCCGCCAAGGCTGCTGCGAAAGGAGCAGCTGCCGCGGCCAAAGCTGGCGCGGATCAGACGTTTGCCGCTGCGTCGAAGGGAGCTGGCAAAGGAGCGGACAAGAAGATCTGCTTCCACTTTCGCGACCACGGGAATTGCCCGAAAGGGGATGCCTGCCCGTACAGCCACGACAAGGAGCTTCGCAGAAAAGCTCTCGCGGCCAAGAAGGGTGACCAAACCTTTGCCACGGCGAATGGTAAGGGCAAGGGGAAGGGAGGTGGTAAGGCAAAGGCCAACGCAAAGCCTAAGGCTGCGGCCAAAGGCGCGGCAAAGCCACCAGGCACTGTCTGCCCCTTTTTCTCCAAGAATGGGTCGTCCACAACCTGACGACCTCAGGAGGGACGCCGGCCTTGCCTGCCAACTGGGCCCCGCCCTCCGGTGCTTCCATGTCTAACCCCTTCGCCGCGTTCAGTGTCCAGATAGGCAGCTCAGGCGTCCAGGCAGGCGTCTCAGGAGCCGCAGGACGCGCCGCGGTGCAGCAGCACGCGCTTCCGTTGAGCAAGGGCGGGCGGGACAAGTTCGCCACCCTGGACGATCTGCCGAAGGACTGGTGGAGCCTGGCAGACAACGAGCCAGGAGGCTACCAGTACAGGACGGTAGTCCAGGTGCTCGACCGTAAGGTCGAGTGCATGCTCGACGGATGCGCCGGCGCAAACCACGTGACAGAGGAACTCGTGGTGGGCATGATGAACCGGGCAGCAGAGCTGGGGATCGGCGCCGAAGATCCCGGCTTCCCGGTCGTGAGACTCGAAAAGTGGGTCCACCCCGAATACGTGCATGGCATTGCTTCGGGAGCCCCCGTTCCTCTGAAGGGGGCAGCAGTCTTGCGCGTCACGCTGCTGGAAGGCAGGACGGCGGACGACTGTCGCCCCAACACTGAAATTTTCGTGCGATGCAAAATCGCAGCCAGGGGGACGTCCGATTGGCACGGACTGATCCTCGGCGGCAGAGCGTTGGACTGCGCCGGAAGGATGGGCCTGGGTTTCAGGCCGGGTCCCGACTTTCACGTCCTCGACACGCTGGGAATCAGGATGCCCAGATGTGAGGATCACAGCAAGACCCGGAAGGACAGGGCCTATGCCTTCGAAGCGCGGTTGTCAAGCCTGGACGACGCGTCATGCACCGAGCCTGGGGGCGGAAGTCGTGAGCTTCTCCGCTATGACGGGGAAGAGCCGCTCGAGCTCTCGCCAGGTGATGGGGTGCTGGTGCCAGTCGTGCGGGAGACAGGAGTCTCCGCAGAGGGATCCCTGTCCGAAGTTGTGCTTCCGGTTGAGTGTGGGGTTGAGGCTGTGCCAGGTCTCTG